TTCAAATTTAATTCCATATTCCATCCATAATATTAAAAAAAAAACACACACATCATGGAAAATCAATTCATTCATCGCTCCGCTCAGAATCTAAAATAAAAATCTAAAAATTAGGTTAGTACACATAAGTCTTTGGGAGTGTAGGATTCATTAGGTTTTATCACAACTATACAATAGTCGATATTGTCGATAAAAAGGTTGATAAATAGACACGTGTTAGATACGACTATCCAATTATGATTTTTCACCACAATTTTAATTTTATAAGAATATAAAAATGTKAAATATGCCCAATTAACATGCTAAAAATATCTCAWATATGTGCTTTTATTAAATTATGATGGGATATTCTAAAATATGCTAATTCGAGTATTTAATTTCATCATTTCATAAAACAAATCTATAACTCACCTAGAATAATTTATGACCCTACAAAAAAACATGCAATTAYAAGAAGTCCYAAACCCTACTTACAGGGRTTAAAGTGGAGGGGGACGCAGGAGGACTCAGTCCCCTTACCTCTGACGGCGGTTAAAAAGCGTCCCCTTTAACAAATTTATACATTAGACATTATACCTAAAATTATATATRGAACGCTTAAAACTTTATGGAGACATCAGTCCACTCTGGAATTTTTCCCCACTTTAACCTCTGCCTACTTATAACAGTTATAACCTGCATCCATGCAAGTCTAAAATTTWACATCAACTTAAAACTCTTAACATTTTTTCAGTCTGCTGTAAGTCATCGTTTAAGTAACGACTAGAAATTGTCGCAGTCCATCGAGTTTTACTCTATAATTAGACGGGCCAGTCCAGCCCTGCATATCTATATAGTTAGTAGATATTATTCATTAATATACTCTTATTTAMTATGTTTTTACCATTTAGTAAAGTCATCGTCATTACTGCCACCATCGACAATACCCATTTCAGTAGTGTAGCCTGAAACACGAAATGATTGGTAATTACTAGGTAATTAATAATTATAATATATTTCATTATGACTAGAAAACTAAAAAACTTTAAATGTCCAACAATTATTGAAACATGATTTTTTATATAAGTATTATAACGACTAAWTACTAATTTCTAATAATATCTCATATTTACATGTTTAGATGGTACCTTATATCTAATAACTCACCGACACTTTAACCAACACTTTAACCGGACATTGTAAGAACGGCCCTAAAAGGTATAATATAATGTATACACAACTCGTTTCAGTTTGTAAATTAGGATGCAACTAGTAAGAAAGTAAATATTGTAGACTGCAGTAGATTAATTTTATATTTATTAAATTAACGTTGACTGGCTTATAGTTAGCGAAGTTCTACGGTATAAAAATAAACGGGGGGYATAGAATGGATATCAATGTAATTTTGACAATTACTCATAAAACACGATTTATTATTATTTACTATTATTAAAATAATATTATTGTTGACTGTTGTCACATAATCTTACTGTAAATAGTCTGTAATGCTTAAAGGTAACAACAGCTATAATCCGATACGATTGTACTTTAGTCAGAATGTAACTTTCTTTTATTTTTATTTTTTTTTTTTGGTGGGAGGAGCTAAATTGTTTGAGGATCCATCATTATGATAATTATGATATATTTGAATATGTAGTGTAATCCAGTAATTCATGAGTGCAATTAATGGGGCTTAGAGGACTTAGCCTCTAGTTTTATCCGTAGCCTAAATTTTTAATCATATTTTTATTTAAAATACCTATTAATTATTATCATCTTATATATGCTGCTGATAAAATTTTAACCCTCCCAGAAAAACTTCTCTAGTTACGCATAAGATGTCAAATTTTGAACTTGATCACTCATGAAAGATTTATGCGTGACTTTATGGTAACATTTTTTTTTAGTTCATCCATATAATATATAAAACAAATTTATGAGGAATCTTGAATTATATTTTCAAACTTTCGATGTAAATAAATTTAATAGCTAAACCTAAACATTTTAATATCAAACATTTCTTTTTTTACTTTTTCTAGTTTTGAAGAATTTAGTAATAAATTGCCGAACTTTATTCAMAACCAAAAATATTGTATATATACAATATAATATATAGGTATACCTACATAAATTTACATTTATTCAAAATAAATATAGGTACTTCAAATGTGTTATGTGTATAATTGGTAGAAAAGAGCAATAATCAAGAAAAATGCAGATATTTTGCTGCAAGTTGTAACAAATTAATAATTTAGGATCTAAATATTCTAAATTTAGGTGTACGTATCTTTTCCGTTTACCTATATTTTAATTTATTTTATTACTTACGAGTTACGATATCGTAATATTTGTGTGTAATTTTATCACACCTGTCGTTAGCTTCTAATTGTCATTTTCTGAAATTAAATTGGAAATAGTTTCAAGCAAAACAGTAAGACACTAAGACCACTACTAGGACCAGTTTATTAATACGTTTAACGTATAGGTATAACCATCAGTGGACAGTGATGGTCAATTATACCGTCGTGCATTTACAAAAGTATTCAATAAAAATTTAAAAAACGTGTTCAATACTTCAATCTATAAAGATTATTTTCTAAATTCTGCTTTAGTCAACTTTGGCACGAATCAAAAATTCAATTAAAAAAAAAAAAATTTGAGATCTTATATGCATAATATCTATATTTCATATTATAATAGCTATAATCTAATGCAGTTTTATTATAAGATCAATTTTTCTTTTAAATTTACAATATTGTCTTTTTCAAAAAGAGATATTTGTAAAATGTAATACATTATTATTTATTATACTTGTAAAATGACAGTTACCTAACCTAACCTTAACCCTGTCTGAATACGTAATTTAAGCTTTTTACGAACTTTGGGATTTTCATGTCAAATGTTGTAAATATATAGGTATTTATTAAATCACTTTTATAATCTAAAATTTATAATTATTTATGAATATCTAGTATTATTTGGTGGTCTCTAAAGATCTTTTTCTATCGACGGTTGTTTGTTCCGTAACACTACTCGGAATAGTTCAATAATTATATTTTCTGTGACTTTAGTATCTATATTTTAAAATCTTATATTTGTTATTATTTCACACGAAAAAATTATGTAGGATTCTCCAAATATTTTTTTCATACATAATTAGGTATATTTAATTTTTTATGTACACCAAATCAATTAGTCCTTAGAGTATTATTTATCCAAAGTATAACCAATAACAATATATTCTTATGTTTATTTATATTATACACCCGTATATTATAATACCCACAAAGTGATAAACGGTTAAAAATCTATATGCATGTTCAATATTGTATTGTTGTGTGCTTTTTGAATGCAAGACGCAAGAGCTACCAAGACTTTCTAAATATATATATATATATATTAAATATAATATACAGCCTTTATACTCGCGGTAATATTTATTGGTATGTATGTTCAGCATGCTCGCTAGTTTCGCTAGGTTGCTCGATGATGTATAACATGAAAATTGAATATAATATATTGTATACTTTTTGGACACATTATCGTTATTTGTTTCATCAACAACAATTTATGATTTTAAAGTATGATCGCAAATTGTCTCTTATTTTTACAATATAAGTGCTTAAACCGTAGACATTTTGAAAATTTTGTAATATTTTTTATATATTTTTTGTTTTTGGCTTACATAATAATATAAAGCTATTATATTTTATACGTATCTATATCATAMATTTTGTCCATCACCGTCCTATACTATTACCTCTACTGATTTGAAAATTCTACTATAGACAATCAGGGAGAGCGTAAATACAAAATAGACGGGATTTTCAGCCTGCCAGGACTCGACTTGTGTTTGAAATTTGAAATTAATTATAAGCCGTAAAAAAACTCACTGTTTCACCATTACGAATGTATATAATTAGTTATGATTGATATTTTTGTTTGTAGCTTATGACGCATTTTATGTCGTTTAAAAGCAATGTTTAATATAATAATATATAGATATTGCGTTTAAATTGTGCTAAAAGTCTTCAGAAATACGACTATTTATTGTTGATCAACGTGTTGTGTCTATACAATTAATAGTCAGTTATAGACTATCGTCTATCACCGATAATGACTGACTTGCTAGACCTCGAGAACGGCCTACAACTTTAAATTGCTTATACACGAAAAAGCATATCGGACACGTGACACCTAAAGCACTCAATCCACCATAAGCTGGTCGGGTATCAAATTACACCGTTGATGACTGATAAGGATTAAAAGGTTATGACACACAAATCTAATATAATAAGACCGACAATTTCCACACAGAGACAGCAGCTTAAACAAGCAACTATATATAATAATAAAATTCGATAAAGATAATAGTGCGGTAGTTTTGATTTAGCATTTATTTAATAATTAAACCTCGGGCGGCATTTTTCTCCGGGCAAGTCACAGTGTCCGGAGAACAAGTGCCACCATCCCCCACTCCGGGGCATGATGGCAGAAACCTACGGGTGCCCCAATAGAAATTCTGCCAAACTCTCACCCACGTGTAAAACCAACCTATACAGTTCCATAAAAAAAAACCTACAGTACTACCCCCTTCCCAATGGCCTTAGTTGCCGCGGGATAGTTAAAAAAAATAAATAATAATTAAACCAACCTATTTTATTATTATGTTGACTGGAAATAAGTAAACGGATTAAAAACTGTTCTGGCTATTACACATATTTTCATAACTATTATAACGAAAGTATGTTTATTTCACTAAGTCTTTCGTGACTCTCAGTTATTATAATTTTGCACATTATAATCATTAATATAYTATGTATTTTTTATTCAACCTTTCAAATACGAATCTAATATTTTTATTTAATGCTTTCAAAGTAGATTTTTTGTTCAAATAGTTGTTTTACGACAATTTATTTTAATGTTTTCATATTCAGTTATTGTAGGTCGTAGGGAATTATTTTTCAGATACAAGAATATATCATAATAATAAGACACGATCATAATTCAGATGTACCTATTGCTTTTTTTACATGTATACAAATCAAACTATAGTTGTATTCAAAAAAATTATACTGGATTAAAAATGGTACTTGAGCAAAATTTAAATTATATAACTAATATTGTAAAGCTTYGCAGAAAAAAAGAAAAGCAACTGACGGTGATAATGGTGATAGTAAGCTATAGGTTTAATCTAATTTATTGTTATTTTTATAAATAATACCTATATATTTTTTTTTATTAAAGCTTCATATACATAGCTTATCTCAGCCTACAATTGTTACATACAAGTTGTTACATTTAAGATTTAACTAATTTAACTTTTGGACATTTCTTTTTTTTTAATTTTAACTTTGTTGTAGTCGCGCGGAGTTATTGTTGATCCGTGGTCCTATATATTCGATGTGAGCTCAGCAATATGATGAAGTCGATTTTTCTTTTGTCTTGTCCAGAGCCAAATGCTTCTTTGGGTGAGGTGGTGTATATATTTGACTGTGTTCTAGCGTTTTTTTTATTTTGTGTTTTGGTCTTCTTACACATTAAGTGGTAATGTGTGAGCTTAGTGTGTCCAATGCGTAGGTACTCTGGTAATTATATGATTTCCTCGTGTCGTGTGAGCTTATTGATTACTAGGTTTGGCCATTTTTTGATAAATGRTTTTATTTGTCTGACTTTATTGTTATTGTTGATTTGTTTTTCTCAGAAATAATATTATCAACTATAATTTACAACAATCAGCTAGAATAAGTAGTATAGTATATAGCTTACTATTACTATATAGCCATAGTATATAGAATAGTAGCTACTATTATATTACATTTGTTAATTAATATATTATACATTATTAATATTTAATACCAATACCTAATCTAAACTATGTGTAAGTAGAAATATAATACTACCGTGTTAAATTCATTAGACAACTAATATGCATAAAGATAATATTTGTTTTATGTATGTAATACATATATTTTGTAATTGTTTTCTCTGGTTCGACGTTAGTCTTGTTTTAAGAACTATCGATGACGATAATATCCAYGTCTTGAATTTAATACGGTACAGAGCGGATATTGGGAGAATTGTGGTTAACGAAAAGATACATTATTAAATCTACAAATCTTTATWTTTATATCAACCTGCATTATTATATTAGATTATTAGCTAAAATAATGTAAAACATAATAAATCTCCAACGGTTTCTTAATTTCTCTCATTGTCGTTAACCAGCAGTTCACTCCCATTCCTCTCTTTGTGGAATAGGCCTACATGGGGACACCACAATAAAAAAAACGCGCCTCTTGCAATACCTCATGTGACATTAAACATGACATTAGATTGTCATTAAATAAGCTAAGGTGGTGTGGAAAATTGCAATGCATTTACTGCAGTCTGCGGTAAATATGGCAAAATTACCAAACTAAATATCTATGGTTTTTACTACAAAATATTATATAATCCTATAATTTATTGTATTGTACAGTAAGTTGTTGTAGTAATAATACATATCAACAATACTAAATAGTTTTTTTTTAATATAATACACATATGGCATATATATTATTATTATAATATAATGTTTATACAATTATACTATATTACGTTCTTGGAATTGAGCACCTATGTGTCAAATTATTCAATAGTATAATAATATGTAGTCCTATAGCATCTACAATATATTATACATATCATAAGTACGATATACTTTTCAAATTCAATGTTTAAAAAAAAATTAATTTACTTAGGGTGATGGACGAGATTAACCAATAAGTTAAAAGTGTAAATTAATATAAAATAAAATGATATAGCTTTTGCCTAAGATGTACCTACTACTCAATATTTACCATCATATGATGGCTTTTTTTATAATRTATAATTGTATAGTCTATAATTATACAAGTAATAAGTATATACTAGGTATAGTATAACCTCTAGTTCAAAGTATAAAGACCAATAACAATAATGCACTAATTTCGCCTGATAGGTACCAACACGCTGGTTTACAGTGTCATACTATTGGCAGATTGGATATTGGCTTTGGTGATTATTGTTGTTTTGCTGTTACAGAAGTAATGTATATATGTATTTTTTTAATTGTACCTATATATGACAACAAAATACGATACATGTTTCAATAGTGATAATTTATTATTTAAATTCATATGCTGATTATTTATTTATTTATTTATATATGAACAAAACTGTGTCTATAGGTACAACAGATCAATTAAAAAAAAATTCTTCTAAACGTAATAAGAGACAAAGATTTCCGGCTTATGATATATTTTATATTTTTAAAGACCGTTTGATTATCATTTATCATTAATAGAATAGAATATTGAATTTCCACTATAGCTATATAACATGAGACAGAATACCTATAATACTATATATATACCTATATTTTTTATATATTAGTATACCTATTACCTGTCTATAGTGCCTAATAAGTAATAACTATTTAAGAAATAAATATGTTTTACAAACTTAAGATAACAACCGWACGTATTGATCAATCTGTAATATAAAATAACATTCAGGCGTATTTCTTTTCTTTTTTCTTATRAAAATTTTGAGTAATTTTTACGTTTTATTACATTTAGTGCAATAATTATATTTTATTTAATATATAGGTATTTAAATAATGTTGCATTTTAAACGTTACTGTAACGAACGTTGTGAAATATATTCATAGATGGAGTCTTTAGGTCAAGGTCGTATGTAAAATAAACGAATTACACAACAACAAAAACAATATAGACGTGAATATAGTATTTATAGAAAAATAGTTTTACATATACTACAAATATAGATAGGTACATGTGCTAATTTACGTACACGTTAAAAAAATCTACTAATCTAATTTTGGCACTTCGAGTTTTTTACGTTTTGAATTTAYAAACACTGGCGTATAATTAAGAATATTTCATACACCCCTTATAGTTACCTACATATATGTATATAGGCTATAACGCCTATAACATGATATTCCGATATCATGGAGATTTCACTTGATGCGATTTTATTCTTCCAGTCTCCCACAATAACGGCGTTTCAACACCTAACATCAGTTGTGGACTATGCCAGTATATGGACTTTTTCCAGTGGGCCAAGGTGGTTGTTCATAATATACAAGTAATAATTAAAGGCATTAATTTACAGCAAAATATATTGAATACCTAATATTGATTTCGAATACATTAATAAATATTGAATATTGAAATCGTTAAAAAAACAACGTGATTTATTAGGTAACAATGTATATGTACATATTTTTAAATTAAATATTATATTTTTTGTTAATGCAAAATACGATTTATTTTATTTGTTCATGGCAGTATTTTCTATATCATTTCTGTATGCACTTATTATACCTTAAAAAATCACTAAAATATTCACTACCTAGGACCAAACAAATTTGGGGACCAATCAAATAGTTTTCCCGAGCCAAGTTTTTTTCATAGTCTACTGCCTAACATAATAATGTATATAATATACACTGCTATATCTTACTATATAAGCAATATGCTGAAGAGTAATTAACACTTACCATATTCGATGCGTGTGATAAATTATCGTAAGCGATAGCACCCAGTGCAATCCACGCGTGCAGCTCGACGGAGCACGTCACGCTGCAGTCTACTCGATAGACATGATGACGCTGTATGATGTGTACGTATTATGTGATATATATCTGCAACTCTATTGTTCTTCAGATGAAATACCTGCTTGACGTATCGTCGTTATTTTTTATTAGCACTCGGGAAGCTGTCGTACAGCTAATATCGTGTATACTTATAACTTGTGTTATCAGCTGATCGATCCTGCTACGACTGTCTTCAGCATATTTATGACAATATATTATGGTATATGTAGTTAGTTAACCATTTATAATATACAGTTCGATTGATTTACAGTCCGAATAATACGCGTACACTTCTCCAGGACGCACTGAAAAACCCGTCAAAAACCCGTAAGTATACGTATTTATTAAAATTCACAATAATATTTATTTGTTTATTTTTTAAATTATAGAGTTCGATTGCAATGTAAACTTTTAGAAAGTCGCGCGTAATCCACAATATATTCGTAACGCGTCCTCACTACGAATACATTTGAGCCTCCGTTTTATTCAGCTTCGGTGTACAACATAATATTATATATAAATATAGTTATGTTATATTTTCAGTCACCTTTGCACTTCCTCACTCCCTCTCAAATATTCACACACTTTGTCTCCCTCTCGCCCATCAAACGAGATAAACCGGATCATTGTAATAATAATATTATACAGGATGTTCCAAAAAGAGTGATTTCAAAAAAATCATAACTCTGCTTCAGCAGCGTATCTTGACCTATTGGACGTCAAAGGAAAAATGGGAGTCTCTAATTTTTCCATCTTAGCCCACAACTCTTAAATTACAATAGAGGAATCTAAATGATGTAATCACGCCGTAGGATTAGTAACGCCTTACACCTGACACGTTAGTCCTCCAGGTTTGGGGCGAGTTTGGCTATCGTTGCCGCCTTGCTCACCCGTAATAGTAATGAGAGGAACTAATTTGCACATTTATAAAGAAAAAAATGTAAACCAACATTGATAACTTACAGTTTTGATTGATACCTACTTCAATTATATTCATGAAATACTTCATTCAATTTATCGTTTTTAAACCAGTTAATTCTTTATGGAACATCCTGTATTTTATTCTGTGAGTATATTCTCATTTACTTCGCAATATATTAATATATACATAACATTTGCTGAGTATATATATATGTATGTATATATTATGTGTTTATAAATATGAACCATGTAACCAAATAGGCGTGTCTTGACCCTATCGTCCCTATGTATATATATTATATATAAATATATTGACATTTGACATGTACCAATATTCAATATAACTATATAAGTAAATACTACATGCGGGGCGAACCATTTAAAAAAACACACATATTATACGATACTCAATAAAAATGCCTTACGTTAAATCAGTAGATCAGGATCACTCTGTGATGTTTCTGTATATTATATTACATAGTATTATACCATTTAGTAGCGTTGTAGAATATTTTTATTATCCCGTGACTAACGCTAATTTTCATTCAAAAAATCATATTTATTTTTTTTTAATGAGTAGGTAGTGTCACATTACTTATATTCAATTATGATCAGTCATCACAAATCATGATTCAATATCACTTATAATTATTTCTTCTCCTTATTTTGTTCACCTTCTTTTTCTTTTAAATAAAATTATTACATAGATGTGGTAATGGGTCATAGGTAGCAGKTATTGTTATAATTTTTTTGTATATCATAATAATATTATTAATTAAACGTTATATTTCTATTAATTACAAATTTTGAATTAAAATATTAAACCGAAAAAATCGTTTATATCTTCCTTTTTTAAAATTATTTTATTTTTAAATCTTGACATGTGTTAGTTTTTATGTAAGGTAGGTAACCTCAATATTTTACTCGAATAAACATAGCATTATTTGTGTTGATTGATAAAATATCGTTACTGTTTTAAAAATCTAAACATGCATGGTTATTACCATTGATTTTATAATATTATAAAATCAATGTTATTACTTATTTAATAGTATGTTGAAAATATCGAATGATGATGAATAATTCTTTAGTTCCAATATTAATTATCCATATATATTTAGATATATATAATTGATAATAATAATTGGTTCGTTGAATTTAGTGTGTATACTGTATATATATATATTTGATATTATCTGTTTTTATAAACTATAAAATGTTCAGTTCCAGAATAATATCGAATATGACTACCTATTTAGTAATTACTAAAATACAAATATATACACTGTTATTCACCCATCCGTTACTCTGTTAATCATAACAAATAAGTCATTACACTCATAAGTCATTGAGGCATTGACATGATACTTTCCCTAAAGTTTTGGACGACGACACGTTGATGACTAATGAAATGATTATTAAAACAGTCACGAACTCGCAGCAGTATACATTTTTATCAGATTACGTATAATTTAGATTTGAAATTTGTATTAAATTTTTTATTTAACTTTTTATGCCAAATTAATAAACCTCTAAATATTGGTATATTCTGAAACTCAAATAGAATTAATTTTTTCATAAAGAACCAAATTGGAACCGAAACGCGTAGTTTAATTTATTAAGGTTCCAAATGTCCAACCTCTGACTTTACATCATTTATTATTTGTTAATATAATTTACTATTACCTTAGTTACTTTGGTAACTTAAAATACAATTTAACAACATGAACTACTCCGTGAGAAGGCAAGTCCACCATAGTGGAAACTCTCTGACTTGAAGGCAGAAAAGTTTTTAGTTATTTGAATATTTAATATAGATCATGATTCAAGAGGTTTTATTAACACCGGTGTCTTTTTAATCGACTTGAGGAAAATTATTAGGAGAAAAGAGATTGATTGGAAGGCCTATATAGTACGTATTTGAGAAGGTTTGGCACAATGGCTCATTCTCATATATTTGAATATATCAATGAATGCTAGTGTTAATAACCATTCTTTTAGTTTTCAGATGTGGAACTATTTATTTAACTTTATAATATGTATAAATACGAATATTTACTTTATAGTACTTTTGTAAATTTAATAAACAATGCCTAGTTTTACTTTATATTTATAAAATTACCTCCCCCTATAAGTTTCAATTGGAAGTAGTGTCACTGAACACTTCCTTCTCTCAAGTTTTTATGTCTTGTAACTATCATCACATTTACTTATTATATAGCATATATATATATAGATTGTAAATTTCTTTTATACAATTTTTTACGATGAACCATTACTTTCGTCATATATACTGAGAAGATGGTTTCAATTAATTTAGTTGACCTCACTTTAATATAATTATGGCAGCCAATCGGAGACCAATGAACCGCTTTTACTTTAAAACGTTAATATTTATTATTATTCAACCATTAAATAACCATACATTAATCCACCGCAACCGCTCACTGTATACATTGTTTACATTCAATTGTGGTTTATACAATATAGTACGACAATCAAGTATATACTGTTACGAAGAATGGCGTATGTCAAGCAGATTTTTATAAGTTTTGGATAAATTTTAAAATATAATGATAGAATTAAAAATAAAACCACATTTTCTAATTTCATGTTTACTTTACTTGTGTACAATTTCATTAAGTCGTCATACGCGTCATATACTTATTTATATTGTTATTTGACGTAATCTATAAGTTTTAATCGGCCTATAAAACTTATTATAAAACTTACTAATAAAATGCCGAAAATGAACCTGTTAATACTTAATAGTGATGTATTTAAATAGCATATCTAAAACGCCGTTTATTGTTCAATTGTATAGTAGAAATCATTAATTTATGATGATAACTAGCTAATGGATGACAATTAATGTAATATCCAATCTCAACTATGTGTAGCTGTAATATTATATAGTAAGAGAAGTTATTAATTATTTTCTCAGAAAACTTGTTACGTATTTACGTGCACGTATCATGTTAAAAAAAAGGTCTAAAAATTAAAAATGTTTATCATGAAATCACATTATTATAATACTCGTCATTATACGAAAAAAACTCGTTACACGACACTATAAATGCATATTATTAACTTTCAAACATTTTTATTTAATAGATCATATAATACAATTACACGATCTAATTATGTCTAAAAATGTACGTAATAAATTAGTATAAAAATTTGCTGTAAGAGCGTAATATTCTTTTTTACCACGAATAATTGTATTTTAATCTTTAAGAACAGATATTGCAACGTATAATATATTAGTTATTATGTACAAAKTTTGAATTTATACGTATAATACAATCATGATATATAAATATATATGGTCATGGGGGTTCTAACCTTGGAGTCGTGCTGTATGTTGCATCTTCCTTTTGTATTTATTTTTCAGGCGGTTTCGTTTCAGACGTAGCTGCAGCTGTGTAATTATATATTTTACCGATTATTTTGGATTAATGACATCCCACGATTCTAACTTACAATACGTATATCACGCATGTGTACCTATATTTTTTCTTTCTGTACAAAAAAATGTATACCGATATGTGTGCACAGTATATCCACGATGTATTTTTCTGTACAAAGTAATGAAATAGATTATTTTTGTAAAATAATTAACGGATAATAATATGATCTGAACTAAATCGAAGTCTAATTTAAATTATATATATACGAGGAGAGTTCTATATAGAATTATGCTAGAATTACTATGTACATTACAACGTTCATGCATACCATGCTCTAGATAACCCCTTCCATTCGTGATGGCTAATATGCTTGCGTACACTGATAATAACTGTTCGTCTGCAGTAAACATATATTATTATTCTTGTTATTTTCATTTATTATACAACGTTTTTCGTTCCCTCTTTTTCTTGTAATACCTTGTCATATCCTCTGCAGTCATTGACGGAACATTTTATCGCCTATACTCCCACCCATGTAATACATATGTATGTTATTACACGACCGCGTCACAGTTGCTTTGCAATTGATTCGCAACACTGACGGAAGCAGTGGATCTTGTATATTACTGCGTTGATAAATGTGTGTCACAATACGGTTGATCGTTTGACTTGGCAGTCGACTGTACACGAAGGACAAACAACACGCTGCTATTATAGTTATTTTATTGCCTATGGGCTACCGGCTTTATTTTATAAATGTGAGTATTTACTATGTTTAATATGTATAACAATATGCTTATASACAGTACATTTTGATGGTTGGAAGTTATGCTCAGACTTATAGGCACGTGAGGTAGGACATAATAATATACATTRACATATACCTATATAATATATATTTACATCCATTATGCATATATATATAATTATATATATCAATATCATTCATACATTTATTTAGTCTATTTTATACAAACTCGAATATAAGTATATAATATGAATTGTAGCTCGTACCCATATGGTACCAGGTACCAAAATATTTGATCAAATTAAAGCCGACCCCTTTTAACAAGAATATTATAGCATCGATGATATTGTAGTACTCGTTTTCATATTGTTCACTTCAACATCATTTGTACTAATAAATAAGTACAAAAGAAATAATAAAATGATTTTTGAGTTAAGTTATAACATTTATATGCCTCACTTAAAAAGGTGAGTCACATCAATCATATTATTAAAAAACCATAAAAATAAAGTCTATAACTATATTAATGATATTTTAGGCAGAAATCACTTTTAGCTATCGTTAGTACCTATAACTATAATATATAAAAATAASAATTACTATTTTATTTTTGTTCACTATTAGTAAAACCAAAATAACTTTTTCACGATATTAATAATCACGTGGTTCCTAAATAATTTAATAAACATTCTAAAATTATTTTTCAGAGGTGACATCAGTTTCAAACACATATTAAGCATAATGACTAATCAAGGTAAGTTACTATTTATTCTGACATTATAGATGATTCATCGTACATACATATAACTATTGTAATACTTATACTCAAGATCGTATTGRATATATTGTAAAATATCGAAAAAGAGGACTTAATACTTTGAATCAAACATAAATAATCATAATGTATATACATTATAGCCTATAGTTTGTATAAGGTACCAAATATATATATATATATTATAATGTTATGAATAATCTCTAACACAATAATTATTTTTTAAACCAATTTTTGACTTTTTTAATAAGTTATTTATATCTTAGGTGCATACCTATCTACGAAAAAATATTAAAATCATATATTTGATGGTATTTCAATCACATAGCCATGTAGGTATAGTTAAGATTCCATTTCTTATCGTTTATTTTAGTGTATTTATATACGTGCATTATGCCATTATATCAAAATGAGATTACTTTTAAATTTAACAAATACATTTTTTTTTCTTTCTACTTTTATATTATTATAGGTATAACTATAATAATAGTATAAATAGTTTTTGGTTCAAAAACTGAATAGGTAACTATATTTAAATTGAAAACAACTGTTAATAATTTAACTATTAACTTAATAATTACAAAAAGTTAATAGGTTGAATAAGAAAGCATTCAGTAATAACTAACAAAGTAATAAGATATTATGTAGAAATGCATTTTAGAATGTAAATGAATAAATTTCTATAATCTCCACGCTTAATAGTAATTATTAGGTTGATCGATTGTTTATTCTATACATATTTTTACATAACAATATACATATAGGTAGGTGCAGTAGGCACATCCAAAAAAACAACTTTACGATGCATATATATTTTATGCCTAATGATAATAATTACATAATATACAATATATATATATGGTATATATATCTGTAGTTATATGTATGTATATTTACAATAAACATACATATAACTACAGATATAAATACCTATTCAATTGTTTTTTAATTACAATTTTTGGTTGTCACATTCCGACGTGACGTGGGTTATATTAGATAACCCAGTGAACTGCTGACTTTTAGCGGAAATAAATCATTTAAAATATTTTTATTTTTTAAAACTTTATTATAAATATATAATGTTTACAATAAGCATATGTGCAGTTATAATGTGATATAACTTGATATATTATGCATATACAAAATATGCCAAGGAAATTGCCAATTGCTAACATTTTTTTTAATTTAAAATATTATATATGCATGTAAAAATTATTATTAGTTTATTACGTCACAACGATTATCCATAAAAAATTTCAATTGTTTGTTTTACAATTATTATTGTTTCATTTAACTTTTATAATAAGAAAATAAATAATAATATAACATCTTACTCCGAAATAGTAAGGCTGGAATTTTGATGCAATGTCATCTTTTTTCTGGTGTTTTAAAATGTTAGTCCGTAAGTATAATATGTGTTTTGGATGATACTGATTATTTTGAAGTATTTTTTTGACAAAATTAACTTTAAATGCATTTGTTGACAATTTTAGTGCATTTTCTTAGTTTTTAGAGCATTTTTCACAATTTATTCCTGAACAAAAATTATTGCGATTAACAAGAGACTTTCGATAAACCGCTGACGGCACGAATGATAAATTATACAACTTGACAAGTTATCATCGATAACAATTTTATTATAGCTAGGCCTTCCCGCTCAAATTATCACCGTTAAATACACCTGTTATTTATTATTAATTTTATTATACTATACATACATAGAAAAAAAAAAAATACACTACCGTAGTATCATTTTAAAATTGCTTTCCAATGTTTAAGCTATATTGCTATATAATAATTGAAATGCATTTTTTAAGGGCATTTTTAAGTAAATACTCTTTCAAGAAAACCATTCAAATTATTTCATGTGCCCTAACGACTGTTGTTATTTTATAAATATAAGTAAAATTTTCTAATTTTTGTTTTAAGCAGATAGAGTGGTTTTAATAACAAAATCTAAAACGCTCACATCAACTGTACTCGTAATCGAACGCCAAGCCGATAACAACAATGAGCACAATGAAAAAAACGAATATCTGGCTGGTGGAGAACACAGTGGTATCGTGATCAGCAAAATTGGGAAATACGGTAAAATATATAAATATATATATATTTACGTGTGCAGAAAATTCAAAAAAATATATATAAAACCATAGTTCATCACAGTAGATATTCAAGACGAAACACCCGAAGATACATCGGTGCAGTTTTGCGTTTTTCTGGTTAACGGTCAAACGGGTTTACACACCAAAGAAAGACGTACCATAAGATTTTGGTGTAATGGAGATGAAACAGTTGACGCCTCAGCAGTGGCGTCTCAATTCTTTCAAGACTTAGTCTTACCAGATCAATTTCCTCTTGGTATCTATTTGTAATTTTTGTTATTAAGTATTAATTAATCCTAGAGGAGCGAAAAATGATTACACAAAGCTACTGAAATTTTGTATTCGTGTTTTTATTTTTAGATTATGTTGGTTTCGTAAAAAGATTACTGACTTTAATGCACAAAAGCTACAAATGTGTGTCAAAACTAGAAATTGAATTAAAACAATTGGAAAGAATGGCAGTAGGACCTGTAAATCAAGGTACAATTTTCAGTACTTCATAATAATTTGTTGATTTCTGTTGCTAACAAGTCAACCTATAAAATATATTTTTATAGTTTCTGTTGAAGGCTCGAAATTAAATTTGGATATATCACAGACTAAATTACGTGAATTGATCGAATCTTCATATCCTAACCCACTAACTATTGACGATATTAACAAGTAAAACTTATTTTTTTGCTTATTAAATTTTTATCGTTCAACTATAGATTCTGTAATTCTTATTTTTGTCAAGAAAACGCGGATGGAAGAACGAAGACATAAAAGACAATTTAGAGAAATTACAACAATCTGGAATCGTTAAGCCTGTCGATGGTGGCTACACAAGAGTCGTCCTCCACGACAAGGTAAAAACACTTTTTTTTCTTTTTTTTTTTTTTATATTAGTTCCTAATGATCTGTAAGACTGTTATACTCGTTTTTTAAGATTGTAGAACAAATGCCTGTCATTCAGTATAATCGGCAACCAACTGTTGCCATCATCACAGCGGAGTATTGCGAAAAAGTAGCAGTTGATACGTTGATCGATAATAAAGAAACATTTGTACGATACACCACTGTTGGTAAGAACACAAAATACGAAATTTTCTATTTTAAATTTATCTATTATTAAAAAAATCACTATAGCTATAGAAATTACTGAACCACGACTAATGAAAGTTTAGGTTATAGCCTTATATAGACACTATACTGAAGGTAAAATCAAGGTTTAACAATAAATAAATTATATGATTATGAATGCGAGCTAATTTCCAGTGTTTTATAAATACAAGGTTAAATTGTTTACATAGATATATCACCTATAATAGGTAGGTATATCACAACTCACAAGCCTCGCCTGCAAGTTTTCAGAAAAAAAAATGAATAACTATACTTATAAATATGTATTTATAAYGTATAATATGTATYCACAACTAAAATTAAAAACTAAAACTGTACCTACCTGCTTAAAAAAGTTATTTTGTCGAATAGATACCAAACAGTAGGTATTCTCTCCTCTATTTTAAGGCTAGCCTAATATGTATTATTACCATTTACAGCACGTTCATACAATTTGTCAACTTGTACGTTGTACAATTAACAACTTAACGGTAATTGGAAATTAGTTGCTAACTAAGTATTACAGATACAATTTTATTAAATTAATTGGATTTAAAACTGAATGATAAATTATCTTTATTGATATTATTACATACCAATATAATAATCATAGAATTTTATTATTTTTGTTATTTTTATTAATAGTAGGACCTACCTACCTAAGATAAAAAAAAAAAAATAGGTAATCCAACTGTATATAAATAAAAATCAATGTGCGTTTTTAAATGGAGCTTATATAGACTTGAAAACTACTGAACCAATTGAACCAAATTTTGCACACAATATATACCTACCTATATTCTTTGAGATTTTGCAGGRAAAGTTTAAAAATTTATTTTTAAAGCTTCATAGGTTACTGTAAGGCGGTTCATGCGTGTTTAGATCACTAAAATCAAAAAGTTTTTTGTTTATACAATTATATTGTATATAGAATATAGATTTGTTATTGATCAGAAAAAAAATGAAAAAAAAAATGATTTGTATGATTGAAGACTCAGAAACTATCTACTCGAATGGTTTTGACGAGAATTTCAAAATTTGTTCTTAGATATATTCTGAAAGTTTAGAGATTAGTTGTTATAACACAAGCCRTATGATAAAATATCCAATTTATCATAGGCGGTTACCCATCTGAGATGATTCTTGTTGATGAATTTGGGAAAAATAAAATAAAATTGCAATTTGTGTTCAATTAGTTAATAAAAGTATTTAATTAGTATAAAAGTGTTTGATTATTAATAAAAGTATTTAATTAGTATAAAAGTGTTTGATTATTAATAAAAGTATTTAATTAGTATAAAAGTGTTTGATTATTAATAAAAATTAAGGCTGCCCCCCCCCCTGAATTTTCACCTGCGGGCGCCCTTGCTCATCTCGGTCGAATCTGTTCACAGATGTACTCAAAAAGTTCAAATTTAAATACACCTATGAGTTATGACCTATATATAGCGCCAAATTATAAACCTATATTTTACGAGTGTAGTTGTCAGTTGTGAATCGAAAATTGATCTGGCGCAGTAGGATTATGCAGCTATTATTTTGCATATTAAACCTTACAATCTAATTTGTTTTGTTTTTAAGGAGARTCGAATGTTTACACGATTGGAAAAATGGGAAACCACATTGTAGTTTGTACCAAACTTCCCGCATTGGGTTTAAGCAGAGAAGCTACAACAGCAGCTGGAAATGCTATAACTCGCTTATTAGGTTTTTTAATTATTTTCTATTTCCATTCAAACACTTTKATCTCACTAAACATCCTTACCTAAATATTTTATAGGTACGTTTCAAAAAGTTGAACACGTTTTTGTATGTGGCGCTGGTGGCGGTGTACCACATTATACAAATTATGACAAACATGTGAAACTGGGAGACGTTGTCGTGTCTCACTGTGGAAACAACCAAAAGTAATAAATATAATATTGCAATGAGCACAAAAACCGACATAACAATGTCATGATATTTTATTAGAGCCGTTTATACATACTGCAAAAATGTCACCAACGAAAACGGAGACGTGAAATTCCATTGTCATCAATATAGTCCAAAAATATTTGATTTACAAATAGCKGCAATGAAATTACAAACTGAAGTAAGAAAGATTTGATTGTTTGAATAGAGTTTCGACCCTGACATATTGTACGAACAAATATTCAACAGGTAAAATCGATTGACAAAAAGCCTTTATGGGATATTTATCTAAGTGAAGGTTTAAGTAAGATTGAAAAACAAAAAACCGATAATGAATCTGATTTTAATCGACCACCAGCGGATTCAGATAAACTTCAAATGTACATTGGAGGAACAGAACTAATTGAAATTACTCATCCCATTTGCAATGATAAGGACAATAATTTGTGCGTTCGATAATAATAATAAATTAAAATAATTTTTTAATAATAACTAACTGATATTTATAATTTTAGAGGGACAAGATTACATGTTGGTCCCATTGGTGGTGGTCAAAGTGCTATATCCAATGCGTTCACTAGACAAAAATTTGCTGCAGAGTACAAATTACTGGCCATGGATTCAGAATTTGACTCTGTTATGGGTTCACTAATGGGAAACTATTGTCATTCTTATGCTATTGTTAGAGGAATTTCAGACTATAAACATGGATCAGTAAAAAACAAATGGCAACCTTATGCCTCTTTAGCTGCAGCATCTGTTATTAAAGCAATATTATCGATAACCAATGTATCAACTAAATAAAATTATTTACATTATGAAATAATCTTAGCATAAAATAGGCTTATTTTTGAAGACTTTCTAATTTAAAAATATTTGTTTTATAATATGGGTTTGTTGTTCCAAGTAAAACATGATAGAATTCAAACTATTTTTACAAATCTGTATACATTAGGTCAGTAGTATAATATAATAGTACAAAATATTATTTTATCTTTATATGGTTATAATTTTGTATACAACAGTATATGGCTTTGTAACTTCTAATTTATTGGCATATTCGTGCATCATGATTTTTGAATATTTATCATATACATTTAAGTTTAACTACA